AAAGGTGGAACAGATGTGTTTTTAGTCGTTTCTTGAAGATGGTTAAGGACTCAGCTGCTCGGATTGATTTGGGTGATTTTTGGTGGCCAACCTGTAATATTTTTGTCAGGTTACCTACAATGTGCTTGAGTTATAAAATGTAAAATGTAACATGAGTTTAATTGGGTTTATTCTTTTGGACCATGAGGGTGAGTAAATGATGACAAAATTTTTGGGTGGGTGAACTATACTTTTAATAATTTATTATTATTATTATTATGGAAATATGAAATTATTTCCTTAGTGAAATGATACTCTAAATAATAAACTAAAACTGCCTGTAGGTGGTGGTAAATGTCTTAATGATTAAGTCATCGAGTCATTTATTCATTCATTTGATTCGTTCAAATGGCTGATTCACCCTGCATTCCATTCGGAAGGGCTCATCCTTATGCCCTTCCGAAGTGTCCATCAGTTGTACCCTTCGAAATCCTTCATTCCGAAGGGCCCTTTGAAGTGGCCAGTTTTGAGCACTTCGGTTTGGAACGACCCTTCAATATGGAGGCCATGATTGTTTTCACTCCGAAGTGCCCTTCAGAGGGCGATATGTCCCGTTTGGAACACACAGTCATTCAGGAGTGTAGTAAATGGTTCTCTTTATGAATGGTCCATTGAATCATTAGGCTTGTTCGACTTGAAGCGGATCATCACCATCAGATCGATCGGTGTGTGACATCAAAGTATCGCGAGAGCGATTAGAGAGCAGACAACTCTGCATGCTTTTGGCCCTGTCCCAAATGGCACTCTAAACCCTTGCGGTCTTCCTCTGAGTCCGCACTTTCGTGACGTAATGCCGAAGTCCGCAAGACCGAAAGTGCACATGAAGTGTTCCATTTGGGACAGGGCCTTTGAATCGCTCTCGCGGTACTTTGATGTCATAAACCGATTGATCTGTGCAGCGCCACTTCAAATCCAACGAGCCTAATGATTCACCCAATTCGTTCAAAACGTGGAATAAGAAATGAAATGCAGCTGCGTGTTGCTCGGAGACGAACAGTTCTGCTTTGTCTTTATATTTTCGTTGGCAAAATTGAGCAAAACAGACAACATGCGTCTAAAATAACACAATATTAAGTTCTTATTTATTGAACTGTTGTATAAGATCAGTATCACATTTGCACTCGTGTGATATTGCACTTATTGCTCGTGTGATATTGCTGTAAACATGAGACAAAAACTCAAACGGGCATTTTTGCACCATATCTTGAATTTTAGGGACATTCTAACTACGTTCTCTAGGCTCCATCACGCAGTGAGTTGTTGTCCTGCCTCATATTTGTCAATCAGCTGTACGAAATGTCGGGGTGGGGCAAGTGCGTTAAATGCATTAGTAGTTTTAACACTTTATTTTTCACCGTAATTAATTCAACTAATTAACGCGTTAAATTTCCAGTCCTAATAATAACATATTTTAACATATTTAAATAATTGAAACAATTAAGTATTTATTTACATTTACATTTAGTCATTTAGCAGACGCTTTTATCCAAAGCGACTCACAAATGAGGACAATGGAAGCAATCAAAATCAACAAAAGAGCAACGATACGCAAGTGCTATAACAAGTCTCAGTTAGCTTATTGCAGTACACATAGCAAGGTTTTTTTTTTTTTTAATTATGTAATAAATAAAAAGAAAACAGATACAATAGAAAAAGAATAGAGCAAGCTAGTGTTAGAGGCCTTTTTTGTTTTTTGTTAATTTCATAATAAAAAAAACAAATAGAATACAAAAAGAATAGAGACTGATAGTTTTTTTTTAAAGAAAACAAGCAGTAAATGAATAGAGTGCAAGTCTAAAAGGGGCAAAAAATTTTTTTTTAAGAATAGAATTAGAATAGAGAGTGCTAGAGTTAGAGGGTCAAATAAAGATGGAAGAGATGTGTTTTTAGCCGATTCTTGAAGATGGGTAAGGACTCAGCTGCTCGGATTGAGTTGGTCAGGTCATTTCATCAGGAGGGAACAGTTAATGTAAAAGTCTGTGAAAGTGATTTATTTAATTTAAATATTAATAAATTAGCAATGTTTTCATGTTAGTTGTCGCATTCCTCAACATTTTGGGTTGCCTTGTCAGGTTACCTAAAAATGTGCTTTATGTGGTAAAATTAATTAAACTGGGTTTATTGTTATTTTTATTTATTATTTAAATAGTATTATATAAATATGAGCATATTTAAATAATATAAACAATTTATATAAACAAAATATTAATTTTTAAAATATCATTTAATAACCAATACTTTGTTCCATGTTGGTAGTAGTATTATAATATTCTGAATATTGGCATATTTAAATTATATTATTATATAAAGCAGTATATTATTATATAAATTATATAAAGCAGTACTTTTTCCATGTTGATAGTAGCATAGTATAATTTGATTTAAATAATACAAACAATTAAATATGTATTTAAATATTAACATATTTAAATGATATAAACATTTAAATATGTATTTAAATATTATTTAACAAGCAATATGTTTTCATGTTAGTAATCCTCAACATTTTAGTTCCCTGTAACATTTTTATCAGGTTACCTAAAAATGTGCTTCATGTGCCACTTGAGTTAAACTGGTCTTCAAAATATAATAAATTAATAAAATATTATTATTTAGTATCCAAATACTATCATTTAAAAATTAACATATTTAAATAATCTAAAAAATTGTTATTTAAAAATTGTTATTTAAATATTATTTAATATGATTTTTTAAAGTAATTTTTTGAGTAATTGCTCATTCCTCAGCATACTGGCTGACAAAATAATGACACGTCCTGTATTTATCACTCCTATTTCATGATATTGTTTCTCAAATTCAATGAGTTCAGTGATACTTCCGCATTGCTGACACCCTGCCAAGAGACATATTGGACATCCAGACACTTGCGTTCATCTTCTAGGGTACAATTAGTTCTATGACAACTGTGACAAAATCCTTGATGGCCACAATAAAATTTCCAGTGTCACGCTCTTTGAAAGGAGAGAAGATATCAATAGTCCGGGTGACACTCTGCACTGCAAGCAATTGCCCGTGGAAATCTTATCAAAAAGGGAGTGAGAAATATTACAGATTAGCTACAGCAATAACAAAGAGTCCTTGATTTCCCCTCAATGCATGCAATAATGACTTTAATGGTCCTTATTAGGCATCAATTTTTCATTAACCAAATTGCCATTAGACCCAAGTGAACAGAGAGCCATGGCTGTAGGAGCTGGCATGGTTACGCCGACTCAAAGAATCATTGTGTTCATAAACTCCCTCTACATGAGGTGGAATAAATTAGATTTCCATTCATGTTGCTTTCATGCTGGAAAGTACAATAGGAATCCTGCACGATATGTACAGGCATAGAAACACATTCAGACTTGTTAGCATTAGTGCCATTACTGTTGGACTGTGATTTTTCTTTAGTTCAGGAAACAAGCAATGAACATTTATAACTGTCCTAATGCCATGTCCAATACGTTGATGGGTAAAATATTTTGTCAGGTTATCTACAAGTGTGCTTCATATCGTACTAATGAGTTAAACTGTCAAAAAATTCAAAAGTCAAAATAATAATATTAATATAATAACATAACTATAATAATCATATATAATAATATAATATATAAAAAATATTATTAATTTGTAAGTTCATTTTTATTTTATTTATATATTTTATTTATAATATTTTATTTTTATTTTTCATATATATTTATTTTTTTAATTAATGTAATTATTTTTAAATATATTTTTTCAGTAATGTTTCAAAATATTAACTACTAGTCAAAAGTTTGGAATAATATTTATTTTATTTTATTAATTTTTTTATTTCTGAAGAATCATGTGACACTGAAGACTGAAACAATGATTTTTAAAAATAGATTACATTTTAAAATATATTAAAATAGTAAATATTAAACTTTAAAATTGTAGTAATATTTCAAAATAATACTGTTTTACTGTATTTTTATCAAATAAATTCAACCTTGCAGAGCAAGAGACTTCTTTCAAAAACATTGAAAAAAATCTTAATTATTCCAATATTAAGTATTATTTAAATGTTAACATATTTAAATAATAACATTTACATTTTAATATTTGAATCGATTTATTTATTTGTTTTTTAAATATCATTTAAATGTTAACATTAAAATAACATTTGTATTTTAATATTATAGTGAACTTAAGTTTATAGTTTTATTTTTAAATCATTTTAAATATAGGCAAATTAGGCATATTAAATCATTCAAAATATATAGCATAATATTTAATATGCCTATATTTATAATTATGTTATGAGTGATAAATGTTTGATATTATAAACCTATTTTCTATTTGTCTTGTATTGTTGTACTTTTTTCCCAATAAATGAACTTACTGCATTTTTATGCACAAATACACACAGCTCTCTTAAAGGGAAAGCAAGTTTCAAGAGACATTTGAGTGCTCTTAGAAGATTAAATATTTGCCATAATCTATAACTGTGCCTGAGTTATTGCTAGATGATGATCTAAATCTTAAAAATAAATTCAAATGCATTTTTTAAAAATTGCAAAAACAATTAAATATTCAATATTAGAAGATAAACGTCTACATCAAATGTGCCATTTTGGACTAGGTAATTCAAGTACAGGGCATCGCAGAGTGAGCAAAAGGACTAATGAACTGTTACTCATTTCTCCATCAGCCACAGTTGGCCAGCCTGTGTGCCACATCCTCAAGAGGACGTCCCATAACTGCTCACAAACCTCCAGCGCAGCAACCAGAGGGTCTCCAGGGGGAGTCCAAGGTGGATCAGACCCATCCCGGCCCAGTCGTGGAAGACGGCTCCAGGTCTTCAACTGACAGCCCTTCTTTAGGCAGCACCGGCGATGCAGGTTGGTCTTTCACTACAGTCCTTAAGTATGAGAACAAAGACATCAATTTCTGATGCATAATAATCTTAGCGCTGCTTGGGCTCAGAGTTAAGCCGGCTTTTAACACTGTAATTTAAATACCCATAATCAGCTGCACAGTGGGGGTCATAGAGGCACTTAACGTTATACACTGAGCGCTGACTGAGAAACCACTCCTTAATCTGCTAATCAGTTGTAGTTGTAAAATCTTTATATAAAAAATAAATAAAGTTCAGTAGTGAATATGAATTTTTCTGATTTCTTACTGCTCTAAACATTTTTCATCAGCTGGATATCACTCTTTGTTGAGTGTTGTGAGGAGTAAAAACTCCATAAGCCAGCGGTGATAATATCAGTCTGTCTATTGAAGGTCGTACTGACATTTGTACACTTTACAAAAGTTTAAACTCCATGTATTCAAACCTGGTATATGCATGGACTTTTCCGGAAATCTCTATAAAGCAATTTTTAGTTTGGAATTTTTAAATTTTTTAATTCGACTGGAAAGATCGATGGAAAAATCAAAGAAATTCAATGGTCAAAAAAGGTGGGCAAGATAATTTGATAGATATCTTAGAATAGTTCAAATGTTTTTGAAAAATGTTTTGTCCATTTTGTTCATTGAGGCTGCATTTATTTGATTAAAAATACAGTAACGTTTTGTAAAAATGGTGTTACTTTTTAAAATACCTGTTTTCAGTTTTTATATATTTTAAAATGTAATTTATTCCTGTGATGCAAGCAAAGCTGAATTTTCCCATCTTTCTTCAGTGTCACACGATCCTTCAGAAATCATTCTAATTTGCTGATCTGATGCTCAAGAAACATTTTTTCTTATTATCAGTATTTCTTATCACAACAGTTGTGCTAAACTGTGATACATTTTTTTCAGGGTTATTTGGTGAATACAAAGTTCAAAAGAACAGCATTTATTTGAAATCTTTTGTGACATGTAAATTACTTAACTGTCATTTTTGATTAGTTAAATGTGTCCTTACTGAATAAATATATATATATATAAAAAAAAATCATACTGACCCCAATCTTTTGAATGGTACTGCACTGTAAGATGATATGAGTTGCCGATAAATTTATATATGGTTTTAGATGAGCAGATCTGTTATTGATTTAATACTGGTGTTTAATGTACTATAAAGTCTCTCAATTCATAACTTTTAAAGCACTGCCTTCAAAACACAGCTTATGTAACAATCCACAGTATTCAACAATAAATTTCAAGTCTGTCAGACTTCAAATCGCCTGCTGTGAGCAATTTTCCTGTCATTATTCATAATCCGTAGGTCTCAGTTTTTATGGCGTCTATCAGCTAATAGTTTTGTGCAATAAAAAAGATATTCAACTTAATTGCCTGTCAGTTACTATATTAAACAGCTACATGTTCTCAGATTCAGACATCTCACTGTTTTTCGGCACCATGAGAGTTGCATTTTTAAGACAGCCTCACCGTAAGAACTTCCTTCATTTTCGGAACACAAATTAAGATATTTTTGATGAAATCCGAGAGCTTTCTGACCCAGAACTACCATGTTCAAGGATCAAGATTAAGGTTTGTGAAAAAGTATCCTCACAGCTTCATAAAATTAAGGTTGAACCACTGATGTCACATGGACTATTTTAACGATGTCCTTACTACCTTTCTGGGCCTTGAACGTGGTAGTTGTGTTGCTGTCTATGCAGGGTCAGAAAGCTCTTGGATTTCATCGAAAATATCTTAATTTGTGTTCCGACGATGAACGAAGGTTTTACGGGTTTGGAACAACATGAGGGTGAGTAATGCGGAATTGTCATTTTTGGGTGAACTATTCATTTAAGGCTTTTTATCCTCCTCTAGCTGTTTTTAAAGCATGAACATATCCTAAAAATGCCATCTCAACAAAATCTGTTGTACCTTAGTTATACAGGGTTCCTTTAAGCAACCCAACAACTAGTTGATCTAAAAAATATCAAACTTTTGTCGGCGCCGATGGCCTCGTGGGCAGCGTGCCGACATATAGCGCCTTTGCGCTTCGGGCGTCCCGAGTTCGAGTCCAGGCTTGTGGACCTTTCCCGATCCCACCCCCCTCTCTCTCTCACCCACTTCGCTTCCTGTCGACCTACTGTCCTATCTAAATAAAAGGCATAAAACGCCAAAAATAAATCTTTTTAAAAAAAAATCTAACTTTTGCCATTTTATCTTGTCATTATACACTCAGCCAACTGGTTTCTGATGTTTTCAGCAGGAAAAGCATCTGTTAATACTCTGAATATTATGTTTATCTTCTGTGTTTTCGAACAGATGGCTACACGCATCAGCTTTGCGAAGTCGAAACGCCCCAGGATCCTCACGCGCCAGAATTCAAGGCCAGTCACGGAAAGGGAGATTGCAAAGCGGTCATATCAGGACTGCTGTGTGGGAAGCCCATGAGATGGGAGGTGGCCTTTGACATCCAGCCTTACCTGAAAGGCCGAGAGCGGGAGGAGAAAGTTCACGAGGACCTGTGGAACGAAACCTTCCATCACCTGGCGGGACGCTCCATTATTCAAGACTTTGAACACATGGTGGATAAAGAGTGTGAGATTGAGCATGGTAAGGTCGAATTACCAAATATTAAAACATCCAACTTGCTTGAATATCTGACCAAATCCCTCTATGTCATTTCTTGTAGGTTCTGGGAGAAGGTACCAGCTTTACGCCATCCACACGAGCAAAGCCTGCAACATCTTGAGCAAATACACAGCGTTTGTACCTATCGATCTGGACAGCAATGAATATTTACCCACTTGCATTGAGTACAGCCATCCCGGTAGGTCATTCTTCTAATTCATCTGAGCTCACAAGGCCTGGCAGTTGCAATCATTACGTCAAAAGACACTCTTCTCAGGAAGAAGAAATCAAGGAGGAGTTACACAATTAGATTATTGTAATGACTCCTTGTGTATTTGTTTATCTCCAGGGGAGGATCATAAACGAAGTTCGCACTGCAGTTCTCGTTCCGGCAGCAGGAAGAACCGTGGTTACTCTGTGGGTCTGGGTCGCTCGCAGTCAGGAGGTTTGCCTGGGCAAGAAGATGCAGCGTTATGCTACAGTAAGATTGATGACAAAGTACTGACAATTGGCTTGTTTACAAGTGTGGAGTAAAAAATGGATGGATCATAAAAGACTTGATTTTTATATTGCATGAAAGAGACTAAAGCTTGGTTTAATTTCATTTCTTATTCTTTCATTTCTTCTGGCTGTGAGTCTATGGCAATCCCTAGAAACATTTGGTAAAAAGTTTCATTTTTGGTGAAATTTGGTACATTTATTGAGGAGAGTATCAACTTTTATCATACCCAATTTTAAACTCTCTAGTGCCACCAACAGGTCAACGTTCACATTTTGCCTTAAAAACTAACAACCAGTCGTTAGACTTTGAGTCAGACAATCTTGAAACTAAAGACTTCTGATATATGAAACTGCTTAATGCATTAACATATTTGATGGTGAGGATGCCAAATAGGAAGTGAGATTTATTTTCCAATGCTTTGGTCTATTGAGTGCATTGGGTGGCAATGAAAGTTGGCACCCAAGCAGTTCATTGACAGTGCCACTGGTTAAATACAAAAATACTCAAAAACATAAATTTGGGATAACTTGGCTTACAGTCAAATATGTATACAATTTTGGGGAATTTTGAACAGTTTCACATACTATTTTGTGTACAGTCCTCACTGACAAACTATCAAATCTTCACCAGAGGTCCAGTAGCCTCATAAAACCGAACCAAAAACACCCACAAAACTTTAACACAAAAATATATATGTGTTGTCAGAGTATTCTGACAATAAAATATCAATTTGATGAAAGGTTGGTCAAAATATACACTATACTGCTCATAAGTCTGGGGTCAGTATACATTTTTTAAAAATAAATTAATATTTTTATTCCGTAAATCTATTAAATTGGTCAAAAGTGACAGTAAAGACATTTATAATGTTACAAAATATTTATATTACAAATAAATGCTGTTCTTTTGACAAATGTAAAATGCATCACAGTTTACAGAAAAATATGAAGCAGCACAACTGTTTTCAACATTGATAATAAGAAATGTTTCTTGAGCACCAAATCAAAATATTAGAATGATTTCTGAAGACTGGCATAATGATGCTGAAAAATCAGCTTTACATCACAGGAATAATTTACATTTTAAAATGTTAAATATATAGAAAACTACTTTTACTAAAATCTCCAGCAGGGATGCTATGAACAAACAAATGTGCATGTTATTATAAAATCTTCTTGAGTGCACATAAACTATCATCAGCACAGACCCATTTACAAACGCACTTGGATGTGATTCCTTAATGCTAGTTCAGATAACTGCTTTCATTCCAAACTGATGTCAAAAGGACTTGTGTCTGCACCCTAAAACGCTTCTTTGCTCTATGTATGTAGACGATTCATCCCAAGCCCCCTGCAAAACACCCTCATCCTCCAGCTGGGAACGATGTAGCTCTTCTGAAGGTACTTTTCTCTAACTGTCTGCATTCACTTGGTTACTTCGGTTATTATAGTCATCAAGCGTAGCGTTAGTTCTGGCAGGTCACGTTAGTCAAGCTCGCATCAGCTGACTCTCAGCTGATCCCCATCAACCTATGGGAATACGACACCTATCTAAGCATTCATATATAAGGTCCCTCA